CACATTGTATTCACACAGTGTTAGACGCTGTCTAAGGTTGTAGTACAATAAAGGAATCATTTAGTAAATTCCAATTCTCTCCTACTTAGTATAGTTTTAAAACAGTTTTGTTTTACTCTTTCTATCTTTCTACTGTCTCGCCTCCTATTTTGTACAAGGGGTAGTCTGGTCCAGGGTTTCTTTCCGAGGGGGGATTAAAAACATCAACGGGAATGGTGGAATTATAATAGTAGTTAAACTATGTATTTTCTCGATTTGCCAAAAACAAACTTTGGTTACATCGGGGAAGATCAACCGAACCCGAAACCGTACTCGGGATTTTACCGTTTAGCAAGTACGCCTTTTGTCAATATTGTTATCACGATACAGCCGCTATTGATGCACAGTGTACTGTAGCATGCTATACTATTGGCAGTCACGTATTTGTTATGGGCTAGGTTTTCAGAGGAAATAAAATCCCACTTTATGTGTTTATCACAAAAAAAGCCCTTCAAATGAAGTTAAGTTTGCGCGACTAAAAAACAGGCTTTAAAAAAAATTCCCGAAATATATTGATGTTATAATGCTGAATTAAAAAGCCGTACAGTTTGGTTTTAATAGTCTCCCATCGCGACAGTTCTATTTATATAGATCTGTTTGAGAGTTGAGGGTGGGGGCACAGTTATCAACGAAACGCCCACGTATTTAGGTCGTTGCACTACGCGAGTGGCTAGCAGTGTTTTCTTTCCAGGGGGGTGGGAGAGGGAGAGGGGTACACAATTTTCGGGATAGGGGGGGGGCGAACACTGCTAAATATATATTTTTTCTAAATAAATTATATTTCGTTAAGGGAGGGGGAAGAAGTAGACAATCATCGGGTCCGCCACCCGCCCCCCCCCCCCCCCCCCGAAGAGATGCCTGAAAGAAACTCTGGTGGCTAGTTTGACAGGCCGTCCTCTCACCTGTGTAGCTGGTCTCCTGGTCCCTGGAACATTCATCACAACAGGTGTGTAACGTCTTAAGGAGACATCCAGAGTTGGCCGGGTCGTTTGGCCGTGTCTTGACTACAGTATGGCCCCATGTCTGAAGAATAGGGAATATATTTTTTTTCCAAACTTAAAAATAAAATTTTGCATATAATTTCCTTAAAATTAGGTGAATTAAAAGATTATAACAACTACCATAGAACGAGTTAATTTCTATAGTGAAATTTCTTCGTCTTTAATCCTATTTCCGGATGATTATCTATTTTTATTATTATTCATTTAGACACGTTCCTCTATATAGTGATAGAGTATTAATGAAGAATAATAATATCGTCTCTTTTGACTACCATATCAAAAACGTGTACATTTTCCTTTTTATTTTTACCCAAAGTTTACCCTTTATATTAGTACCTAAACATTAGGTTTCTATACTTGCCTAAAATTTAAAATCTTTATATAATAGGCCCATCTTATATATTTACCAAAATGTACTCTTTATATAAGTACATGAAAAATACTCTTTTTATAATTTTTATGCCTGGAATTTAACAACTTTCTATAATTATCTGAAATTTAAAAACTTTCTATAATTACCTGGAATTTAAAAACTTTCTATAATTACCTTAAATTTAAAAACGTTCTATAATTACCTGAAATTTAAAAACTTTCTATAATTACCTTAAATTTAAAAACTTTCTATAATTACCCGGAATTAAAAAACTTTCTATAATTACGTTAAATTTAAAAACTTTCTATAATTACCTGGAATTTAAAATCTTTACATAAGTGACCCGACTCAGGTCGGAAGTGGATGCTGCTGTAGATGTAGTACAGGCCGGAGTGTGCTATCCGTAGTCCGTCGTTCAAGACCTCCACGCCACGCGCATGCTCCACTCTCTCATCCGGCGTGGCGTTGACGTGTTTGAACAATATTAAAGCGTTACCTCCACTGTCAAACTGTGGAACTACATGACCAGGTACCAGGTTAGACTTAGCTCAGGTGTGGTCGAGGTGTTACAGTTAAAAAACCTAACGGTGCTTTGAATTCTATTTACATTTTAAAAGTCTAATGATGCATGTAATTCTATTTACAAATTAAGAGCCCAATGATGCGAAACGTTTAATTGACAATTTTAAATGTGATAGATAATAATAGTTTAATTTCTAGCACGAAAGAAACGGGGTATGGAATTAGCTGCACCGGTGGCGTAGCTAGGTATTACGACACCGGGTTCAACAATTCAGGTTGTCAATCCAATCAAGAAAAAAAAACAGGCTGAAATCAGATTCTAAGGGACATATGATGCTTGTTGACACGTAATACAGTTAGAGGAAACGAGAACGAAGAAGAAGAAGAAAATCTAAGACTTGTCTTCGAAATTATATGATACTTGAAAACTCAACACTTTGGTGTCACCCCCATACCTAAAGGTGTCACCAAGATGTCTACGGTGTATATAACTTTAATACGTTATACATTAAACATAAAAAAAACACATACTTTCTAAAAGATTTTTGTTTTGAAGTTGACAAGCTTTCCAGTCAAGAAAAAGAAAATTCAATCTAAAGTCAGAGTCTAAAGAGCATATGATGCTTAGCATGTTGAAACGTAATACAGGGAGGAAACTCCCTCCAATACTAGAATCAAGAGAGGAGAAGAAGATAAACCCCAAGTCATGCATTTGACTTTACATAATATTTTTAAAATGAACACTTTGGTATAACCCGCATACCTAATTGTGACATCATTATGTCTATAACTTCAATATTAACATGAAAAGAGACAGGCTCTCTAAAAAGATTTTTGTTTTGAAATTGACTTTGTGCATGCTTACCTCTATCTCGATAAGCAACAGTAGTGTGGGGGTTGACCGGTGGGTACAGTCGTTTGTGGGCGGAGACTGGACTGAACTGGAAACTGCTGACGTTATACTCTTGGAGAGGTGCTGGAAATTACATTATATCTAAGTCAGTCACAAAGTCAGGCAAGTCTATGCTTTGATTTGTAAACTTATGTAGGTGAACGTTGTGAAGTTTAAATACTCAGATAAAAGATAAGTTCGAAACGTATTTACACATTGCGAAGATGAAATATAGTTCATGTTTTTTTGACCTCGGCTTATAAAGTGAAAGTGTGGTCAGCACTTTGGCCAGCCGCGTTTACTTTCTCTAACATAAGTTAAGTACCCATCAAAGCTGGATGGACTCAGAGATGTTCTATTGATTTGCACCCGGATTCGAACCTGAGACGTTTGGGTTAACAGCCAAGCGCTCTACAGCTTAGGCCACACCGTCCCATTAATTATATGATGATGTAAGTAAATACTTTGATGTGTAAGCTAGACGGTTATTTAGATAAAACCTATGATGAATATCAATGAGCAGGTGGGTTATTATCATATTGAGTTGATTTTTATATCGGTGTTTAATACATTTCAAGAGGATGTGTGGAGGTTGAGCGATTATATCTTCAATCAATAGCTCACCTGTGTCTACTTCTTGTCTTCTCATAGTCTGCAAAAACAAGACATTTCTTTTTAAAATAGAGTTGAACAAATCTTTAAAATAGAATAAACTTTAGCACAAAAGCTTTTTTTTTATAATTCGTTTTGACCTATTCAGAAAATAATAATCGTATCCTATGGCTTCTTAATAAGTCTATTAAAACATTATGGACAGTGTGGCAGGGAGATAGAGCTTACGATTTTAAAACCGAAAGGCTCGAGTTCAGATCCCGGACTCGAGTCTGTGGGAGGTCCCTGAGTACGCCCAGCTCAAATGGGTACCTAACGCACATTTGGAAAACCAAGGCGACTGGGCAAACTGATGACTACACTATCCTCTTTTATGCCGTAGTCATTGATCAGATTAACTCTACTTCATCTGCCCCAATATGTCTTGAGCGAATACGGGAAAATATGAAAACAATATTTTTAAAAATTCTCATAGAGAGTAATAATACTAATATATATAAATTGATGTGGCTTTTCAGAATATGCTAAGATATGAATTTCGTCTTACGTTGAAATACAAAAAAAAATGAAGCTGTATACTAAAAATGTTCTTGATTTTGTTATTGTTTTTCTTTTTATTATATTATACTCAAGACATTTTTTGAAAGAAGGTGCCTCACCATTTCTAAAAGTGCGGACATCTGAGCACTGTCGTAGGCACAGCACAGTTCCTCGTCGTCTTCACCCAATCGTCTGCTCAAGGTCTCTATAAGCGGATCTGCTGCTGATAAGTCCATGGGGTTCCTGACGATCTTTGTACACGGCAGACATGCTATCGGCTGGTCAGTTTTCTGCCAAAATAAAATACGAAAAACAGAATAATAGTCAATCACCATTAGAAAATGTCTTGATAAATAAGCGACGGAAACTAAATAATATTTTAAAAATTAAGCGAGAGTAATCTCCCCTAAACTAACTCGTATATTACCTTTTGAAAATCGTACAGAATCGCGTAGAAAAAAAAATTGTGCACCAAAATGATCATAAACAATGTGTGTATAATAGAGCGGAAAATTAGCGCTTTGTGAAGGAAACACTGATTATTTTTTTTTTAAAAGTCAATTAAACATCTAATTTAGATAAATTTTATGTCATAATGCATTGTCATCGAGTCTAAACTTACGAGAAAGTTTTTAAGGAAATCGGTCAGGTAGAAGTGATTATTTTTCACAAATCGGAAATAGCGTAATGTAATAAGTTCTCATGAAATCACAAAAAAATTGATTTGAGAGAATCAAGAGAATAAGATGATATACCTAAGTTTAAAGACTCGTCGACCTAACTGAAACAGTACTCAAGTCATAGTGTTTACATGGAAATAGAATAAAATAACACTTCCTGTCGTCGAAATCGTTCAAATTTGAAAAAATACATGTGCATACAAATTAATACTTATGCGTGAAATTTCGAGTTACGGTAAATCGCTCAAATATTGATAAAAAACGGATATATTGCTTATAAATGAATTTCGTCAACATAACTGAAAACGGTGCTCAAGATATCGTTTTTTCAGACAAACCCACAGACATACAGAAACACTTGCTAAACTTTTTTTCCGACACATAGAGGTGTAAAACGCCCAGATTTGTGAGAATATCGATTTCGATATTTTGCACGATTACAATACTTTCTTTATACTTTGTATACGAGAAAGTAAAAATGTGAATACCATTTTAAAAATAAATCAACATAAAATAAAGTAAATTAAAGTATGTATAATGTACTTTTTTGAGTTTTGTTTTACTCTCTGCAATATGTTTTATTGCTATTAAAAGCGTAGTTAATTATGGAGGACAACATGATTTAGTTCACTTCAATGCTCAATGAAATTAGCCTGCTGACTATAATACTATTTTAGTTTACCAGAAAATTAAATAACTACTAAACTTTATATGAAAGAAAACAATGGCATGGGATTTTAAAAAAAATATTAAGTGGTGATACTGGACATTGTCGTAGAAGAAAGGATTAAAAAAAAAAGATGAGTAACACTAAGAACCATCTAGATATCATACATGTCTAATCACGTGACTTGCACTGACCTTCATCACGACCTTGTTGGACAAGGCCAACACAACCAGGACTGTCAGGCTCAACAGAATCGATGCCAGTAGCATGAAGAAGACCAGTCTGTAGAGGAAACAGGGCTGATGTTTTCATCATTATAAAACTAGGGCGCGTTTCGTTAGAATTTTATGTTATAGATAGTAATAAAAAAATTATACAAGCGAATCTCGACATATAATAATTATGATGTATATATATATATATATATATACATACATACACACACACATATATATATATATATATATATATATATATATATATATATATATATATATATATATATATATATATATATATATAAGGATTGGGGTAATTAGGGCTTACATCATTCATACTAATATACAGAATAAATAGCGGGTGTGGAATTCAACCCAAGAGAAACTATAATAATGCATGTCTAATACGATTTAGATCGACACTGAATATTGATCATAAACTTAATTTTTAAAACCATACACATATATCTCTAATTGATACAAGAGGTAGAAATATTTACCTGAATGGATACATACAAAAACTCCGTGATTAATTTATTCTAATTTTTTGTTGAATGGTTATCGTTGCTTATGCATTGAATATAATATTTTCAAACTTAATTTGTGATTGAAACTTTTAATACATCTCCTACTAAATTATTATGTTTGTAAATCAAAAAAAAAAAAAAAATTAAAATTAAAAAAAAAGTATTACTGTACCGTATCATTCGTTGTTTTTAAACTAAGTAAGTAAGAGAAAATACTAATAAATTATCAGCTATTCGGACTTTTAAAAAAAATAAATTGTGCTTGAAAAACAACTATCACAATATTGAGTGAATGTAATCGTAGCGATTAATAAAACAGAAGTCTGCCTCTGTAAGGAGCGAACGTGAATGACTTTACCCGGATCTGTATCTGTCTTTATATGAACCGGATTACTACCGTGTTGCTTTCAGGAAAGCCCCTTACTATAAATTGCGTCACGCTTACCTTGTAACCATCAAATAGGAAGAGTATATTTAGAAGTGTATAAACACACAACACAGCCTGGGTTTTTCAAAGATGGGCATTTTTATTTCTGTTTCCTTTGCTACGATAACGTGTTCAATATCTCCAAATCTAAGAATATCCAGGTTATTTTTAGAATTAGTATACTTTTTCACTTTTTCGTGTACGAAAAGATAACACAACCTGATCGCTATAAAACTTGCAATATTCAGTTTTGAGGATATGAAATAGTGCGAGAGATGCTTAGAAACTATACGAAGAAGATTCAAGAAAAATTTAAAACAAAACACTGTAACTATATACTGTAAACCTTTAGTCATACTTGGATATTTTTAATAACTGCGTGAATTGTTTGTTAACATTTAGATCTATGTATTTGCTTTCCATTGCACTATATGGTTGTGTAAATCATATTGATATGTGTAAATAATGAAACTTTTGCTCAACACATAGCATGAACGCACATATAGTATAGGACAAATTGTTTACATGTAGCTGTAGAGAAATGTATGCGTTTATATATATATATATATATATATATATATATATATATATATATATATATATATATATATATATATATATATATATATATGTATTTATTTATTTGTATTTAAATATTTATATATACAGAATGTATATATATATATATATATATATATATATATATATATATATATATATATATATATATATATATATATATATATATATATATATATATATATATATATATATATATATATATATATATAGTGCATTATGTATGCATAGGGTACACTATACTATGTATGTATAAAGTATAGCATGCAACACGTTTTATGTGTAAAGTCCAATGTGTATGTACATGGTAAAATATATAAGAATAAAGTATAGCATAAAACACATGTGTATAGTTTACCATGTGCCTAAAACATCCTAACTTACCCTAAACAAAACTTCCGGTGTTTCTGTCTGTCTTGTTCAATGAAATACTCGCATTGTCTGTTTTCCTTGGTCAAATTTCGGTACGAACTTTGTGTGAAAAACATTTGATTGTCTTGTATCAAATAGCCACTAGTAGAAAACAAAATTGTTACAATTTTTACCAAAGCTACTATCAAGAAATGTTACCTTATATAAATAGAACAGGTAGATTTGAATCAGAGGAAATAATATACTTAAATTGATAGTAATAAATTAAATGTATAAAAAATATTTTGTACATAGTTGTAGAAGCCTCACTTGACAGATGTAATTTTGGGAGGATTTATTATATTTTGTGTTTGTACACCCATACATATTTATTGCACGGTACTATATCTCAGTATCGTGAACAGGATGGTTTTATGTGTCTAGAGGCTAATAAAAACAGGATGGTGGGATTGTAATATCCATCCTGCTTATCGAAATTACTACCTCCAATCTTCTTTTTCAATTTTTAGTGTTAGAAGATATTTCCTCCAACACAATTAAGTATACGTGTAAACTTTTTATGCGCCATTGAGGTCATTGACTCCGATTTCAGCCTGCTTTTCTTTTTGGATCTGCTTCCATAGCCTTTGTCCAACCAAGAACAAACAACAAGGCAGCAGTTGTTTGATTTTGGAGTTGTCGAGCCTCATTTACCCCGCGGTTCGAGCTCTAGACTTTTCGGTTTAGCGGCCATGAGCTTTGCCAACTCGACCACCCCGACACACTACTACCTCCAATAATATGCTAGCACTAACAACAAAAGATTTTACTTATCTGATTTTTCATTAATTACATCATATAATTTTTTCACAATGACCTAACTGATTTTTCATTAATGACTCCGTAAATGTTTTCCCAATTCATCATCCCATCAGTACCATTTCACAAAAACATAATTATGAAGGACGATCAAAACCCTAATTATTCGCCACTAATGTTGAAGGAAAATGTTACCCTTTATTGAATTTCTCCCATACATCATGCGTAACATTGACATCAAGCTACAAAACTGCCCCAAAAAAATTATACGCGAGCCTAAGGAGTACCAAAGTTCAACTGGCGTCAGGTTGACTCTACTTGACCTACACCTAGCTAGAGCTGTACGCCAGACGGTTCAGGTTTCTGGCTGATGGCAGTGTTTCTTCCAGGCATCTCGTCGGGGCCGAAGAAAGTCAACCCCCCCCCCCCCCCCTCCCCCGAACGAATTAAAATTTATATAGAAAATATACTTTTAACAGTTTCGCCCCCCCCCCCCTCCCCCCACCGGATAAAAAGAAAAACGTCTGGAAGAAATACTGCAGATATTTAACAATACTCTGACTGGTAAAGTCATATAGAATATTATTATATAGCCAAACCAGTTTTCTCACTTTAGAATTTTAGATACTGTGGGATAAATTGTGTTAAATTTTTTTTTATAATCTAAACAAGTAGAACTCTTCAACATATGCTTGTAAATTACCTACCTTTATATCTAAAGATGCACCTCTAATATCCACGAAAACAGCTGTAGCTGCTTGTTTTGAAGTTGTAGAAAAGAAAAATGAATCAATGAAATATTGAAAGAAGTTTTCCTAATATTTTGGTTTCTGTTTTCCGCTCACTGAAGAGGTTACTATTAAATAATAATGGGAATTTCCGATTTTCATGGAAATTCCCGATTGTTTCAGTTTACTTGTAATAGAAGAGACCTGATTTTTAGTTGTCACTTGAGATAGTGATGTTGTTTTTTTTTTCACGTGGCAGCACACGGCGAGGGTAGGGTGCTGAACATACAGGAGGGGGGGGGGGGGATAACATTTGTGGGGAGAAAGTGGGGGCTTGAGTTTTGATACCAGTTTAAAAATGACGCAGAGGTGACTTTAAGACATTTGTGTTCACTTTGCCGATCAAAGTAAAATGCAGCCTTGCAATCATTGTAAAATATATTTCATAAAATAAGTTAAAAAGGCTGCCAAGAAAGCTATGTAAAATTTTCGCTGCAATTAAGTGTCAATTGTTTGTTTTTTTGTTCATCAATTTTAACAAGAAAGGAGGGAAGGGGGCAACTCCGATATGGAAATCGACCTGAATCATGTAACCTTTGAACAATCACAAATTATTCTAAACCTATAAAAACTACGTGATACATTTTTTTTGCGGTATTTTTAATGGAATTTATTAGTCATGGTTTTCCAAAGACATTTTGTGTTACAAATACACAATTAGCTTCGGAAACATAAATTGTATCGGAATTTCCCGAAGTTTTACAAATCTAAATCTGTGGGCGTTTGAAAAGGTCAAGGAATGTCACTTGTAGGAAAATAGAAAGGTTTTCCTCCGAAATTTTGTATAGGCACGCATTGTCGGACTAGAATTACAAGAAGGTGCTGTTTTCTGGGTTTATACACACAAACACATACGCAAACACACAGAGTGTTTGTAGAAAATGAAGTATATTTCATATTAAGAACATCCAAATCCCCCCCCCCCCTCCCCCAGACCAAATATTTAGTCGTCATCCATAAATAAAGTTCCCTTTACGAACCTAAAGGTTTCTGTGACCTCGGCGTATGAAGGGATAGTGTGGTAAACACTACGCCCAACTGCATGTACTTGTGTCCGTCACACTTCGTCACACAAAGCCTGTCACTCCTCAGCAGGGGGCACCCCCCCCCACCCCCACCCCGAAGAAAGTCTACCGCTCCCCCGAACGAAATGGAATTTATATTGGAAATATATACTTTTGACAGTGTCCCCCCCCCCCCCCCCCCCACGGAAATTGTTTTCCGCCTCTCCCCGAAAATTTAAAGTGCACCCGGAGAAAAAAAGTCTGGAAGAAACACTGCTTTAAAGGGCATTAGTTCTGTATCTTCGGTCCCCAGCTGATCATAATAAATCATCATATGAGCTGCTTTCTTGTGTAAAACACATATAGATACTCTGAGTTGAAATATATTTGCTTTCTGTTAACGACTGACAATTTTTAGAGGAAAGAAACACCAAAGTCAAGAATCTGTTAAGGTTTAGAAAAATTAACGGTTATTTGGAAAAGTTAACAATTCTACATACATATTTGTATGTATCGGTATATATCAGGGGTCGGCAACCTGCGGCTCGCGAGCCGCATGCGGCTCTTTTGATATCAAGATGCGGCTCTCCAGCTCCTTGAACAAATACTAATAATCATAATAAAAAATTAAAATATTTGAAATAAAAAAATGTTAGTGGCTCTTTAAAACCAGGGAAATTTTGAAAATTGTAACTTTTGGCTCTTCCGCTTCAAAAGGTTGCCGACCCCTGGTATATATATACATGTATAAATATATCTATCTATCTATATATATATATATATATATATACATACAAATATATTCATACATATACATACATATACATATATACTGTAACACACACACACACACACAAACACACACACACACATATATATATATATATATATAAATATATATATATATATATATATATATATATATATATATATATATATATATATATATAGAGAGAGAGAGAGAGAGAGAGAGAGAGAGAGAGAGAGAGAGAGAGAGATTGAAACAAAAATTCTGAAAAAAAATGAATTATCGTTTCAAGTCTGTCTAATTTAATATTTTAGATGCATTTTAAAACGATAATCATTTTAGACGACTTTTCTTGTAAAATTTAATAATTTAACTAAATATCGATCAACGAAACTAATTTTGACTTTAATTTTCTTTCATATTCAGTATCAATGAGTAAGTAATGCTGTTTATGCTTAGATAAACCTAGCTCGAATACAATTAACCGTCACTATTTTTAAAAAAAAATTTTATGTTAAGGGAAATAACTCGTTTATATTTTCATATAGCTAAGCTAGCTTGTTTACATTCCTTTAAAGGAGAAAAGCTTTTGCTTTTTACTAGCTTTTATTTAAACTTGCTTTCTCTGTCTCTCTTT